GATGTTTACATCCCCTACGTTCCCGCAGCTTGCTTATTAAGCTTCACTGAAATTCTCAGCATTTCCCTTCATTCCTCAGAACTTCAGTAAAGTTCCTACAACTGTTGTGAAGTTAATGGGACTTCACTGAAGATCTCTAACCTAACAAACTTGAAGTAATTTATTTATTTATTTTTTCTTGATTCTGGCACGCCAGGTCAAGGAGTCTTTCGTTCGTGTTAACAATGTTATTAATTTGCCTCAAGCCATTGGAAAACATAGCTTCTGTAAAGTTTCTCTCAGTATCAGGCAAGGCGTTTGAACGAATAAAATTATTAATGTCCTCGTCAAGTTGCCATCGCAGATTAGGAAGATTAAAGTCACCGATTGATAGGATTATGTCAGTCTTCAATAAACGATCTGTCACTTGTTGAACGGCCCTTGTATGTGCAGTAGAGTGATGCAAAATTTGAAGTTTTCGCTCCACAATACTTAAACGATTCCAAATCGGATCCTGACTAACCTCTCAAAATTTGAACCCTTTTGGTGAGAAACTGAGATGGCACAAACCATTTGAAGTTTGTATGGGAATTACTATGGTAAAACCAAGATTTTTGTTCATGTCTGTCTAATAATTCACCATATCTGTTTGCTTCAAAAGCTTTCAACTGTACTTGTAGGAAATTTTCCCAGCTACAACTTTGCTGAAGACCACTTTTTGATTAAATGCAAGGATCGAAAGTTATCAATAGTTCAATGCGCTGATGTCTTATGATCATGCTCAATCAACTGCTCAGCAGGCAACATTGGTGTTTCTGGGGCGTTGAATAGGACACAAAATTCATGGCTACTATGTCACACTGCAAAATACAGTGTTGCCTACAGAGCAGCTGCTTGATCATGTCATAAGTTTACTAATCAATTAAATAATTAATAACTTTTTCCTGTCTCGTTTTGCATAGAAACGATCTTGAACAAAGTTGTAGCTGAGAAAATTTTCTATAAGAATGGCTATCGAACTGTTTTGCAGCTCAATATGGAAAAAGATTAGAAGGCAATTAACAAAAAGTTGAGATTTCCCATAGAAATTTACATGTAAACTTCAAATGGCTTGTGCGAAGTCTGTTTCTAACCAAATGAGTTGTAACTATGAGAGGCTAATCAGGACCCGATTTGAAACCATTTAAGCTCAGTGGAGCGAAAAAGTCAAATTTTGCATCAGTCTAATGAGCAGTATATAACTCGGCACTCGAGTTAGGTGGAAGATAGATAGCCACTACACAAAGCGAATGAAATTGCGACTTTATGCATACTGAAATTTGCTCAAGATTGTCACAGTTAGCTATCGAAATAGATTCACACACCAGGTAGTTTTTGGCCGCAATTAGTACACCACCACCCACCCGCAAATGAGTACTGGTTAACTCATTGCGATCACAGTGGAAGAAAACATAATCCGAAGAAATTTCACTGCTGTCAATATCAGCACGGAGTCATGTTTCCGTAAAGACAAGTACGTCATTATCACAGCTGGATAAAAGCAGACGGAGTTGAGTAATTTTTGTGCGCAAACCTCTGACATTCTGATAATACACAGAAAATATGCGATCGCTGGTACAGTTTTTTTTTTGCGGAGGGCGTATGGGACTCGGTGGCATGCTTGAAGAGACGATATCACGTGCAGCAGCTAAACTGCTAAAGATGATTCAGCAGCTTCGAAAGCGCCAATATCCGAGTGAAACCCGTCTGAAGTGTGGTCACTAGGAGCGATGGGCATTACTGGAGGAGAAGTATTCCAATCATGTGTGTACTAGCCTGCGATGACGGTTTGGAAGACCCCTTCTCCATTATCATGCTGCAAACACCAATGTTGACCATAAACATGATTGGGCGTTATCTTACCTAATCATTTTCCAGGATGCTTTCTCGCACTGGCTGCGTTTGTATTAGATTAGATGAGATTAGATTTAAATGTTGGCATCACTGTTCTGTACATCATAATACACGATAAAAAGAAAATCGTCATATATTTTCCTAAAAATTACCATAAACAATTCGCGCCATTAAAAAAAAATTCCACAATTTTTGAGACATCATTTCAAGCTGAACATTGTATTAGGTCCTAAGTAACATTGACAGATTCTGTTCGTCGACTTTCTTCTTCCGTGACAAATTCCCGAAAATAGCGAAAACTGCGCTCGTTGTAACAGCTCTGCCATTATAAAAGTTGTATACACCTGAGTCATTGGTAACCATACTTCAAAATATGTTGCAACTAATAATCGAAAGCTGGATAAACCGCACCGTGTTTGTAACCAAAGTAACCAAAAGTCTTGCATTCAACGATAAAACTCACTTTCAAGTTCCATAAAGTTCAAATAAAGTTCCGACAGAACTTTCTTCCCAAGCAACCAAAAGTTCTGCATTCAATGATAAAACCCACTTTCAAGTTCCATCAAGTGCATATAGAGTTCCAACACAACTTTCTGCCTACTTTAGAAGCTATAGAAAGCACACGAGGAACTTCAGGCTCCAAAAAGTTCCGATACGTACTCTTAGCAACTTGAAGTTCAAAAAAAGTTCCAAAAAGCATCCATAAGCACTGCTTAGGAACTTCAGGCAAGGCTGAAAACATGGCCACAACAAAGATCCGAACAAGTTCCCAGTGGAACTTCTTAGTAACTTTAAAGCTTCTAAAAAGGTCCGTCATAGCCCACATGAAGCAATCCACACAAGTCTTTATTAGTAACTAAATTTAATGTGCGTAAATATGAAATAAACAGTGGCTCAAATAAATCATAATTCTTATATTTGTGCAGTGCATCAATACTCTATCCAAACAAAAAAAAATAAAGAGTAATTTCCTGGATTCGAACCCGTGTATTTGGCATGCGATCTACGAACGCAGAAAACTGCGCCACAAGTGTGTTGGAATATCATGCGGGCAAACAACAATTTAAAATTCATCAAGGAGTTGTGTTTCGTATACAAGTCAGTCAGGTGGCTCTGAAAACTCCAACAGTAGGCGGGACAACAGCTTACTTTAATATAACTCAGATGGCGTAGCAGTTCAAGCTGGGACTCTTGCGCAATAAACTGGGTTTAATTCTTCAAACAGCTCCAATACTACTACTAACTAATGATGATACATCAATACACGTTCATACCTGCCTTTAGAAACAACTTTCATAAAGACTTGACTTTAGAATTAACTTTCATAAAAGTGCGCATTAAATATAGAATTGGTGTAGAGGGCAAAAAACCTTTTTTTAGCTTATTTTCTAAAAGTTCCGTTCAAGTTCCGCCAGAAGCTGCTTAGAATGCCCTTCAATTATAGTACCAGAACTTTCAAGTTCTTATAACGACTTAAAAATGAGGCTGCTTAGAAATCTATAGACCGCCTTCAACCAAGCTGCCTAAGCCACAAATAGTCTTTTATCAGAACTTTTGGTTACTTGGGTATAAAATCGTGATAATTATTTCTTAAAATAATTCAAGCATTCACATTGAGTTCTGCAATTTTTGTGATAACACATCAGTTCCATCGTGATTTTCACGACATCATTTAATATTTCCGCGATTTTTGCGACTGATAGTTCAAATCCGCTACAAATTTCGCGAAATTTAAAAGAAATAAATCAACACATGAAACGGAAATAAATCAACACACTCAAAATTAAAAGATTAAGTAAGTGTTAAACTTCAACATTTACTGGTTTTGATTGTAAAGCTGATTCTTTAAACTGATTTTCATGTCTTAAATACGTTTGCGTTAATGTCTGGTGTTGTTAATTAACAAAAAAAAAACATATTTATAACACATTAAAAAATAGGTTTCTTTATTATAATCCTGAAGATTATCCGTTGAGGATGTGGAAAAACCTGCAAAACTCAGGGAATTTTATTTAGCCAAAATATTAGACACCCTGTAGATAAAATAAAGTGACGAATAAACGTCAAAAATCTCTATATAAGCACATCTTCGAATTGTTCGAAAATTAGAATAAAATGTAGGCATCGATTGGAACATCAGATCCTACACATTGCAAAAGAAGAATGATCAATCTTGAAATAAATTCACGCTGAAAAAAAAAATGAAAATAGTGACTTTAGTGACTTTTTGGAAAAACAAATAACTATACAATTACCATAAAATATAATACTGTCTTATTGTACGTATATCATACAATTATTGTTATTACAATAGATCTACGATGCGTCCGGTACTAACAAATCAAAATCGTCTATCATTACTTCGAATATCTCGAAAACCCACCCATTTAATGAATGTATCAACTCATTATCCCAAAGTCAATCATTAATTAATGAATGATTTTCATGATTCTCCCACTATCTTTTGTTTATTTTCCTATAGGAGTTGACTCCAAAACCATCCGCTGGAAGCATTAGCTGGCATATAGTGGAGCCCTAGTTCACTAACACACCTTGTAAACCTTTTTCATTCTATACACACCGATACACATTTTACACCCCATCAATACGACTATGTACTCTTTCATCACTCATGTACCCATTCATTCCACAATACTTCGCTAGTGCGCACCGCTATTCTCTTTAAGTTCATTCAACAAAACATACTGTTGCACAAAAAGGAAGATTCCCGTATCCGTACATAGCAATACAACCAGCCAACAACCGAACGAACACCAACGTAATACAAACGCAACAGTTAATTCCCATTATGAACAGAGGGTGAGTGCCGTCCCGATTGTGATGAATGAATTCATTCTCTCGCCACTCGGCGAGCCGACGTCGCTATCCTTCTCTCTCTCATTCGCATACGATCCCGACCGAAGCGAAAGGAAATCACCGAGCTCCTACGAATCACGATCAGCTCGCTGCGTAGTAAAGTCGTCCGTCACTTGAATGTGTGGGTTCGGTTGAGTGTAGTGTGGTGTAGAAGTCAGCGCCATTCGCAGCCAACCCGTACTCGTTGTGTGCTGGTGTGGTGGAAGTCAAAAAGTTATATTTATAATACTTTTAGTTGGATATGTGCCGCGGTTTGAGTAACAACGTTTTCCGCCTTTCTCGGTTGGTAGTGCGCAGGACCTTCTGCATTTAAATTGCCAGTCAGTGCATAGTGTCGCTCCAGCGCAGTTAGGTGTGCGGTGTGGCCAAAAAGGATCCTCTCCTCGACTGCGGGAACTTGTGATTTTTTTTCGTTTTAAGTTTATTATACTTGTTAAGAAACAAAAGTGATTTATTTTTTTCTGGGAAGAGAACGTGAGTTCAAGGATTAAGTTTGGGATTTGGAATCGGAAGATAAAAAAAAATCAGCGCCAGTACAGTGCGACCTCTCTAAGCCGATCAAAAAAAAAAAAATTATATATGTAAGTCGCAGATTCTGATCGGAAAACAGGAAAAAGTGAAAAGTTCTAACCGGAAAAAAAAAGCATGTGAATAAAAAAAATTCCTGTGAGGCTATAGGAAAAGAGCAATCAAACGACAGTGAGCAAAACGAGTCGGCTTAAAGTTGAAACCAAGCAGAAAAAAAAAATCTATTCAAGAGAAAAAGAGTGGAAAATGTTTTTATCGCTGGCCGAGGAAGTTGTTGCGAAGGAATTTACAACTACAGCACTTCGACGTTGTTGGTGCCCTGCCCTCCTGCTGTAAGTAGAAGTGTGCATTGTGTAGGATCGCTTGCTCTGTCTGCTCCCTGAGTATACACGAAGAACGACGACGACGACGAAGAACCGAAGAGCAATCGTCGTCGGGGGGCGAATACACAAATCAAAGTAGTCGCGTTGTCCGTCCCAGCAAGCGGCGCAGGAAAATAAAAAGGAAGCAAGCGAGCACAGTGTGCTGTGGAGAAAAGTTGAAGTGTGTGGAAAAATAAGCCGGAGAAAAATTATTTTAATTCAAAACCAACTCGTCCGGAAAGGAGAAAAATGTAAAATAGGTACGTGGCAACAATGACTGATTTTTTTTTGTATGTTCTGTGATACATTGGGGAGGTTATTCGCCTTTTTTTTGGTCGCATATCCTGATGCAAAAATCTGTGAATAATCATCGAAATTTGAGTCTGTACTGGATCGGGATGATGCCCCATCATAGTAGTCGGTGAATGCTGTAGTTTTTTGTTTTTTCAAACAGAAATCGAGTTGATTTCCATTTGAAGGCGGAAGAGCCTTCAGCCAAGGGGCGTGTGGCAAGTGTTGCGATGTTTTTTTTTTCGAATGAAAACCCCAGTTGGATAAAATTTAGACATTACGCAGTGGCGGGCGGTCAAGTTTTTGGGGCGGTGTTCAAATTGTTTGGCTTTCCTATTGGTGATTTATTGTTTATGATTTATTCGAGTGATGGTCATGAACCGCAGGTACTCAAAAAGTTTTCGCCTAAAACAATTAATTGCTCCCATATCGTCAGTTCTCAACCGATTATGATAACAGGGGTTCCAATCGATCAGGAATAACTTTTAGTTTTTGATTTTCTCAAGTCTGTGCTTCGATTGAATTTCACTATTTTGTATTGGGTCAAAACGGTGTTTTCGAAAAGTGATCTTGACGTCACGAGTTCTTGAATATTTTAAAACTTAAGCGAATATTATGGCCATCATTTACCAAATCAAAAATAAGTAGAAGCGAAGCTGAACAATGAAAAATTGATCAAGAAAAAATTACGAAATGGCAGCAATATCAAATTTATCTAGGTGGAAATTCGAGAACTTTCAAACTGCTCGCCTACAAGAATAATGATCATTCTGCAATTTTCAGGATTTTAAAGTCAATTTTAAAGCATGAATCAAATTTTAAGCTACTTTTCTTCATCGACGAATGAATTGCAAACTGCACTGTGAGAAAATTTACGCCAGAAAAAAAAAGTGTTTATGCCTAAAAGATTTTTTTTTTCAACTCAATCGCGGGAGCTTTGCGGAGCCATGATTTAGTTTGTTGGATTTTTACAAAATATTCCCAATTCGAAGTCTAGCGAAGAGAAGGACAGGTGGTACCGGAAACCCGCAGTTTGAAAATTAGTTTTCGTTGCCTCATCAGATGCCTTCAAGTTTATCATATTTAAATTCGAACATTCCTTATTTTTTTGTTCTTGGAATCAGGTCAAACCGGTTTTTTTTTTCTAATAGTAATTTTGACCCCACCCTCCCAGTTCTTGAATATTTTAAAACTTAAGCGAATATTATGGCCATCATTTACAAAATCAGAAATTACGAAATGGGTGCAATATCAAATTTATCTAGGTCTAGGTCTAGGTCTGAAATTTTCAGGATTTTTCAGTCAATTTTAAAGCATGAATCAAATTTCAAGCTACTTTTCTTCATCTACGAATGAATTGTTGACTGTACTGTGAGAAAATTTAAGCCGGACAAATAGTGTATGGCTAAAAATTGTTTTTCCAATTAATTTATTTGAAAGGCTCAATCGCGGGAGCTTTACGGAGCCGTGATTTAGTTTTCTCGAAATATTCCCAATTCTAAGTCTAGTGAAAAGGAGGACAGGTGCTATCGGAAACCCGCAGTTTGAAAATTAGTTTTCGTTGCCTCATCAGATGCCTTCAAGTTTATCATATCCAAATTCTAACATTTCTTATTTTTTGTTCTTGGAATCAGGCATGGAAAATCAGTTACAGAATTCCGTAAAATAATGCATGAAACTTTTGTAGCTTTTATGGTTAGCTACAAATTTTGTGAAAATCGCAAATCTTTATCTCTTATGCATGAACCAGAGCGAACAGAACCCACCATTGCTTTTCAGTGAATGTAAATTACATTCACTGAAAAACAGTAGCAAGTTCTGCGCGCTCTAGTTCTCTCTAGTTCTCACTTGCATAAGAGATACAGATTTGAGTTTTTCACAAAAGTTGTAGTTGATCGTAAAACCTACAAAAGTGTCATACATCGTTTTACGGAATTCTGTTGATGGAAAAAGTTAGAGGCAAGTGATTGTAAATGATTTTCCATGTCTGCTTGGAATAGTTCCAGACGTTGGATCAGTGGCGTCGCGTAACCTCACTTTTTACCTGTGCACCAACTTTAAAAATGTGATATCTAGCATTCAAATCGATTGCAAAAGGCTCAGAATCTTCGTTTAACTGATATTCATTCAAAGCAAGTAATATTTTCATATTTGTGAACGTTTTAAGAGCGGGTGCATAGGTAGATTGAGGTTATGCTGCGGTAGATAATACACTTAATTTTATAATTCTTCAATCAAATGGAAATGAGCACATTTTTCTGAAAATTTTCTCATGGCAAACTATTGACTTCCATTGTTTCATTATTGGGCAGTTTCAAATGGTAATAACTTTCTGCTTGAAGAATTTTACATCTAGACAAAACAGATAAAAATGTGTGTCTCTAAAACATCGTAATAGGGGAAATGGCTCTAATGTTGGCCTATGGATCTAAGGTTGGGCCCATCGCTAAAATTCTGCTATTTTTCATTTTTATCTAGATGAACGCGTCATTGGGACGGTACTAATGGATATTATTGGTTGCTATTGAAAATTTAGTCGATTGCTGAATTTATGTATGGGTCCAAATTAGCAGCATTTAGGCCGACATTACATCTATTTCCCCTACTTGTTGACTCTATTTCAGATCGCATGTATGAATTCATGCTGGAACTGCCTGGCAAGGTGCACAATTCTCGCGTAACATTTGAAAAGGGCCTATCCTCGTTGATCGATTCTCTTCATCGACTTTCTCTTTGGTTTACCACGGTAACATAAACGAATTCCTCGCTAAGCTCGCAGCACAGTTCGACAGAAGATTATGTTAGCTTGCGCCTGAAACAACATACTGAATGGGAAATTCATTTGCAGTCGGGTTATTCGCGAAAGAGAAAATCGATGAAGAAAATCGATCAACAATGACAGGCCCTTTTCTCATTTTGCGCGAGAATTCTTAATTTTCTCAAGGTACTCACTCTTAAAAATTCTTGGCAGGTGAATCTGCATCAAGTATCTTCCAAAAATTGGCCCGATTTTCATAAATTACTCATGATTTACCTTTCAAAAGTCTAATAAATTTCGAAGGATTCTCTGGGCATAAAACGCAAAAATGTATCAAAATTCAATAACCATCGTTCCCGCTGATTAAACTTAATCAAATATAGTCGTTCCAACAGAAAAAAAGTCCCAGGAATCGAATGAAATTGGATTCATCTTGATCCTGTGAAAGTTGTGGTGCAGGTGATTTTGACTTAAAAATCCCTTAAATCAGACCTTAAAAACCGTACCCCTATGAATTTTTGTGATTTTCTCCAAGAAGAACTTTATTTGCTGGGATTGCTTCATTGAAGACAAGAGTTATTTGTTTGAAACAAAAAATGTGGATACGGAAATCGGACCAAAACAGGCTGACCACTTCTTTCTTCAGTGCATCTTGAATATAGTGATGATGCCTAATATCGATATGCTTTAGCGTGGGATTATAACCACCAGCTTTAGCAACGACAATTGTGCTTTGATTGTCACAAAGGATCTTGATCGAACCAATCTCTTGGAATTGTGACATCAATCCTTTCCACCACGCTTTTTTCTTGAGCTACTGCAGTTACGGCCATATACTCAGCTTCACACGTAGATAAAGCGATCGTAAGCTGCCGCTAACAGCACCAGGAAATTCTAGCTTGAATTAACCACTTGTTGATTCCCTGTCGTCGAGATCATCTGCCCTGTGTCCGCGTCACTGTATCTAATAACTACTTCGTTGGCATCCTTCTTGTACACTAGTTTCATTTTCGAAGTTCCACGGAGGTAACGGAACAAATACATGACTGGATTTGAATTGTAACGGCTGAGCTGGTTCACAGCGAAAAGAATATCCGGTCGGGTACATTGAGCGACGTACATTAGGCTGCCAATTACTTCTTGATACGGAATGTTCGCCATCTGGCGACATTTCCTTGTTAAGCTTGTCGGGCATCAGTGTCTTCGTTGCGTTGAATTTAGTCAGCATTGCTTCAACGTAAGCTTCTTGATCTAACGCAACGGTTGATGTGTATGCCCAAGCAGCTCTTAGCTTCGCCTAAGTCCTTCATCCGGAAGTTCTCGTTCAAGAACACCTTGACTTGCTCGATACAATCGCCATCGGTGGAAAATATAATCACGTCATCAACATAGACTGCTACAAGACCAAACTTCTTCAGCATCGAAATCAACTTGTTGTTCCAGACTCGGCTCAACTGTTTGAGTCCATACAACGCTTTGTTCAAGCGCACACCATCTCACGGTTTTGACGATTTTCGAACATAGGAGGCTGCTCCATGTAGATTTCCTCTTCCAGATCTCCTTGGCGAACAGCGATGACGGCGTCCATCTGTTGGATTCGCAAATCGTACCTTGCTTCCAATGCGCCGCCTTTCGCTGCGAGAATCCTTTAATCACCAGCCTCGCCTCGTGTCGGTCCACATTTCCGCTCGAATCGTGCTCTGTCTTGCATTTTATCGCCTTCCTGAGTTTCGCCAGGTTCCAGGTACCTTCTGCTGATCAACGCATCGTACTCATCCTGCATGGCTACCTTCCATTTTTCGGCATCGGGATGCAACATCGCTTCTTGTGGCGTGACAGGATCGTTTGAAATGTAGATATTCACATTGTCGAGCTGCTGCTGAAGTCGCCAATCCACTGAATTGGACCAACTCGTCCGGCTCCACAGATTGGATCGACTCCGCACCTTGCGCAACATCAGACTGGGAAGGCTGTGAGAAACGGCAACAGGGCATCGTAATCATCGTCTTCGAAGTCACTCTGGGGAATAATTGGTCACAGTCTCTTCAACATCCAGTCTGATCACCGTCCGACCACCTCCTCGATCAGCTTCCAATTCACGACTTTCAATTGTCCCTTCGTTGATGAATCCAACAACCCGACTCTTGACAATCTTTCTGGCCTTCAGATCAAATAAACGATAACCCTTAGTATCTTCATCCAATCCTACCA